AAGCAGATTTCCTAGTCTGATAAAGACTGTTGACATAAAACAAACAAAACAAAAAAAACTTAAGTTATAAAGTTTTATAGTTAACAGTAAACATCATACATCTGATAAAAGAATGTTTTTATTTTCAGTGCTGAAAGAAGACAAGAATGATCTTTATCAATCATTTTATTCAACAGCCTCTATTGTGTATTAGAGGTCCTAGCAGTGCAATAAGGCAAGAAAAGAAAACAAAATATAAAAAAAGGAAAAGTGAGAAATAAAACATTTTTATTTGTAGATAATATAATTATGTATGTAGGAACCAATATAAAATGGAAGGAAAGGGGCTTCAAGACAGCTGACTAGAGACACTGGCAGGCACTCACCTCCTCCACAAAGAAGGACAAAAACAGCAAATACATAATCACACATTGAATAAAGTGTCTAAGAGGTAGCACTGGAATTCAGCAGGAAAGTGACAGGAAACCTCTGAGGCACAGAAGGATAAAAAAGAGAAGCAGTTGGCCCAGCTGGGATTGACTCAGAGTTGGTAGGGATTCCCCATTGTGGGAAAATGTAAGTGAAAAATCACCAGTACCCCACATTCCCACTGTGGACTCCTGCAATCCTAGCCATGGGAGAGCCCCTCAGCTCTTGTCGGCCCTGAGACTAGTATAAGGAGCTTCCCTGGAGTCTATGAACATCATCGTTACAGAGAGGGAGTTTATGCAGAGTCCCACATATCCTCTTAGACCTAAGCAGCTGTAGCACAGTGCTTATTGTGATAACCCAGGCCCCACTAGCTTGCCTCATGCCCTAGGGCCCAACAGCCCCTGCATGTCCACATCCCTAGAGCCCCACTTACATCCCCCCATGTCCATTCAGAAGGCCACAGCATTGTGATTTTGGCAGGGTCCCCAGCATTCTAGCCCACACAGTGTCTTGCAACCTGGAGAATAGGCAGTGTAGCACACCAGAGAGGCTGCCCCCAGGACCAGGGATGCCAAAGCACATGCTCCACAGAGCCAGGGAGCTTCTGGTCTGGTACCCTGCCAGTGACATCAACACTATTCCCCTTCCTCTGGCAGCAGAGCCACTGCGCACCTGCATGAGCCTTCAAAGTTGTTGGGGACAGGCATGACCAGGTGCCATCACAGAAACTGAGGTCAGGTCCTCCTGACCTCCCAGTAGCACCTGTGCATGTCATCTGTAGGCCTGAGGAGTTTCACCCCACACTACAACTGAGCTGGTGCCTGGGCATGCCTTCTGGGGGACTGGGGATTGACCAGCCCTGCCCAACACTGCAGGCATCTACTCACACCATCCG